GTGGCGTTTCGGTTGAGGACGCTGCTTGAGACATGGAGTTGACTGAAGGCATAAAAAGTGCAGAAACCCACAGGAAGACACATTTATATTAAATGATGCATGTGAACAAAAGCCTGGGTTGAACAGGAATCCTTTTTAAAGCATAATTTGGCCTTCTTGGAGAGAGCTAGACAAAAAGCTCAATACCACACTCATGTCTGGACTGTGGCATAAAGATTCAAGGGACAGTCTTAAGGTGGAAATGATCTATCATGACTGCTTATTTCAATAGGTACTGTATGTTTTCTTGCAGAGAACCATTACATGGAGTTTATAAACCTCAATAATAAAGCAAGTTAGTATACTTCCCAAAATGACTACTCCACAAGTTTTACTCCTCTCTTAGTCCTGGTCTTTCACCTGTGACTTGGACCAGCTCAGCTGCACTCTCCACCCAGGGCCCAGAGTCATCGTAGCTGTCCCTGGCCCTGCAGCGGTAATACCCAGACTCCTCAGGGCTGAGCTTAGTGAGGATGAGGGATCGTCTTCGGTCAGCGAAGGCAATGTGAGGCAGGATGGGATGAGTGTGGGAATCCGGATGAGACTCAGAGGGAAGGACAGAGTCATTGAAGAGCCAGGAGATGTAAGGAAAAGTTCCTCTGCTGACGTGACAGCTCAGCCTTACTGTAGTCAGTTTGGAATCAGCTGTGTACAGATATTCCACCTCCACTTTCACATTTCCTCCAACTGGAACTTGACAGACAAAGAAGAAGGAAGAGAGGGTCACAAATCTCACATAAAATATAGACTTCATGTAAAACATATCAATACAGAGGTGTCTTAAACATGCAGTCTTTCTAATGGCCAGCAGGGGGCGTTTCGTCTGGTTGCAAAAACAAGTCAAGAAAAACGACGCTTTCCTCATGAATTTGTGCTCTTAGGTTTGAGTCTACTTGTCTTGGTCCTGTGTCTGTCCTTACTTAAGAGTTTTCCTCTTTGTGATTTTCTCTATTCTTGTAATTCTAGTTTCGTTTTTTTTATTATGTGTTTGAGCTTTTTAATTTTTTCATAGGTTGAGTTTTCAGTTTGTTCCCATGTCTTGTTGTTAATTCTTGGTCTGTGGGAGCCGTGTTTATGTTTTAGTTACTTCCTGTTTTATTTTGGCAGCGTCTGTGTGTTTAGTATTTAGTTTTACTTCTCTGTCTCTTCCAGGTGTCTCTCACCTCTTTGTGGATGTAGTCGCTGCCTCCCTTTGTCGGCCTGTTCAGTTCAGTTCTCCCTGCTGATTATGCTTTATGACTTTTTCAGACATTTGGATTCATTAGTTGATTCTCTGTTGTGGATTTTCATAAACCTCAACTAAATAACGGTCAGTCTTTTGTTTTGGATCCTTTTCTGCATCAACACTTACTGAACGCAACTTCAATTCAGTTCAGTTTTATTTAAATAGTGACAAATCACGATGGAAATCCTAGATAATCCCCC